CTCCCCTCTGCCCCTCTCTCTGCAGCAAAGAGATCTGCGAGGCCAAGGACACCATCATGTGCCCGCTCTGCGACCAGCAGTGCCCCTTCTGGCGCCTCTCCGACACCTGCACCTACGCCAGGGTAGGCGGCCCCTTCCCTTCCCTTCCCCTCTCTCCCGGGGCAGGCTCACGGCACAGGATGGGGAAACGCTCTCAGCTTGTGCGGTCCCCAAACCACTAGAAACTAAACCCACCCCAGCAAACTGGGTACAAGATGTAGGAAACCTCCAGTAACCCCTGTAATAAGGAGGAGGCACAACTACATCATGGTCTCCATCACCACCACCAAAGAAGAGTTTACCACCACCGAGTCCCACTGTCCATCCCTTTCCTCATCCTTCTGCAGCATCTGTACCTGCCTTGAGGGGACCAGGGTGGCAAGAAGACCCCATCCCCCGAGGTGCCGCAGCCCCTGCGCCCATCACACTCTTCCTCCATCTTCTCCAGGTCACCCATGTCATTGACAACGAGGGGACAGTCGTGTTTGCCATATTCATGGCCATCTGGGGTAGGTGTCTATGAGCTGGTGCCAAGCACACACAGTGTGAAAGAGGGAGCAGTCAGATGTGGCTTAGGGGGAGGAAAAGGGGACACCGACAGAGCTTCACCACTCAGGACCTTCTTAGTCCGCATCCCCTCCCCTTCCAGACAAAGCAAAGGACAGAATCACCGCTTCAGCTCCCCAAAACCCCTTACCTGTCCTGCCTCAAAGCTGCAACCCCTTCACCCACCACAGCCTCCTCTAAAGCTTCAGCAGCCTCCTTATGGCCTTTATAAGGCTTTATGAGCAGGCATTATAGAGCTGCTGCCTGTGAGTGTTGGCAGCTGGAGGGAGGAGGGACCACCAGCCCCTCCTCAGCCTCCCCAGGTTGCTCCATCATCCCTCAGCTGCTGTGGAACGAGCTCAGCAATCCACTGGGCTCTGAGCTGATGTGGTCCCATCACCTCATGGAGTGATGTGGGTTGGACCTTAAAGCTCATCCATCACCATATTAGCTACACATCTCGTTTGGCTTTACTAAGCAGTTACAACCAGCACCATTGGTGTGGGCACTGGCTCTTCACCTGCACAACCACAGTCTGAGCACCATGGGCATGGTCTGTGTGTCACTGGGGGCTGGTTTACACGGGGGTGAGCTCAGGAAGGTCACTCCAGATGACAAGGGAGTGTAAAGGGACTTGGAGAGGTGCAGCTCAGGGTGTGAAGCCTGAACAACATCGTGGCGTGTTCCACTTGAGGGGTATTGTCCATTAACCCAGAATTACGTGTGTGGTTGGCACCATGCAAAGTGCTCTCTTGGTTTATGCCCAGTGTCCTGCAGACACTGGGGCTGGTGACATCTCACCCGCCTCCATCCCCATCCCCACATGGTGCTGCGTGTCCAGGTCCCGCTGGGTGGTAACATGACGTCCACCCCGCAGAGGGGTGACTCCAGAGCTACCCCGGTCTCACAGTGCTCCCTCCGTGCCCCCACAGCCACCGTGTTCCTGGAGCTGTGGAAGAGGCAGAGAGCCAGAGTGGTCACCAACTGGGACCTGTACCGCTGGGATGAGGAGGAGGTGAGGATGGCACCTCTCCTGCTTCGAGCTTCCCTTCAGCTGGAGCTACGGAAAAGCCACATCACAGGGAGCCCTTTGCCCAGCTCCATTCTCTGTGGGTGTAAGCAGGAGGCACAAACAGCAAAGCCAACGTGTGGCAGCCCTGGGAGAGGCAGAGCCCCGCAGAGGGCTGAGCAGCCGGCAGCCGCCCCTCTGCGGTGCTGCTCACCCTCCACAAGGGCTTGAACTCGACCAGTTCTGGCCTCGCTGTTTGGGTTGGGTCTCCATTGTCCCCCGTCCTCCTCCTGCGCTGCTCATGCCACAGCCACCCCTGGACATCCCCGGCCCCGCTCTGCCGGATCCATTCCCATGTTCTGTGCCTGGTTTTGTGTTGAAGGAGGAGCTGGCCCTGGAGCTGATCAATAACCTGCAGCACGAGCCCCGGCAGTACCAGCACTCCTACTTCCGCAGCACCATCATACTCCTCCTGGTTCTGCTGATGGTATGTGCCAGGGGGACCACAGGAAGATCTGGCTTTAGGGCTTTCCTCCTTCCCTCCCCACTCTGCTGCAAGAGCAGCACCTCAGTGTTCCACTGCTGGCCCTGGCACAGGGTGCCCAGAGAAGCTGTGGCTGCCCCATCCCTGGCAGTGTTCAAGGCCAGCTTGGACACAGTGGCTTGGACCAACCTGCTCTAGTGGAAGGTGTCCCTGCCCGGGGCAGGGGTTGGAGCTGGAGGAGCTTTAAGGTCCCTTCCAACACAAACCATGCCATGATATATGTATGATTTGAGGCCATGTCCAGCTGAGCTCTGGTGCCAGGAGCTGGGTCGGAGGGATGACGGTGCTCAGGGGGTGATGGTGCTCAGGGCGCTGGGACACGTGCTCTCTCCACAGATCGCGGTGCTGGTCGGCATCGCACACGCACTCGTTATCTACCGGGTAGTAGCAACTGCCCTGTTCACGCAGAGCAGCTCCAAGTTCCTGCGCGAAAAGGCCAACACGGCGGCTGTGGTGACGGGGGCCGTGCTGCACTACATCACCATCGTCATCATGAGCAAGGTGCGGAGCGGGGCACGGGCGGCGGGTCTGCTCCTCGCTCCTCCACCATCAACCCTCCTGCCTCTCTCCTGCAGGTCAACAGGCGCGTGGCGCTCTTCCTCTGTGAGCTGGGTAAGGCTCAACACAGCACCGCGTGGTCCCCAGCTGCCGCCAGGCTCCTGTCCCCTTCCTTTCCTCCAGCATCCCAAAGCACCCACTGGGCAGCTCTTGCACCCAGGTCCCCCTGTGCTCCATGTGCTCCAGGGGGCTGTCCCATGGCCACATTACACTCTGGGGGGCGGTCACTCTATGGGGCCAAGAGCCAGCAGGAGCAGGAAGCCACCACTGCTGCGGGAGCACTCACAATGTGGTTTCCTCCCAGCTGAAGGCTCCCTTCTCCCCCAGTCATGGCTCTGAGGGACTTCCCTGCTTAGCTGGGCTCAGCTCCATCACGGGGCTCGGCTGAAGGGCAGGGACTGCTCCATGAGGGCCAGACACCCCCTTCTAACCCTCAAATTGCTGCTGTGGCACTCGAGGGGTAGCAGAACAAGGTCTCTCCTGCCCTGTGACTGACTCCTGTGCTTTGCTCCCTCAGAGAAACCACGGACCTTCTCCCAGCACGAGAGCACCTTCACCGTGAAGATCTTCACCTTCCAGTTCTTCACGAACTTCTCCTCGCTCATCTACATCGCCTTCTTCCTGGGGCGGTGAGTGGTGCCTGGGCGTGGCACTCGAGGGGTAGCAGAACAAGGTCTCTCCTGCCCTGTGACTGACTCCTGTGCTTTGCTCCCTCAGAGAAACCACGGACCTTCTCCCAGCACGAGAGCACCTTCACCGTGAAGATCTTCACCTTCCAGTTCTTCACGAACTTCTCCTCGCTCATCTACATCGCCTTCTTCCTGGGGCGGTGAGTGGTGCCTGGGCGAGCCGGGGGCAGCCCGACTGTCCCCAGGGCCTCGGGACAGCCCGGTCCCCCCATCAGGCACAGGGACCCCGTGTGGGACATCAGGAGGGCCACAGTGGTGGGTTGGGGAAGCCCCTCACCTCTCCCTCGGAGCCCCGAGGATGATGCCCCAGCATCAGTGCTGGGCTCAGCAGACGTCGCTGTTGTTCCTTCCCCGCTCAGAATCAACGGGCACCCAGGGAACTACGTGCGCGTCGCTGGCAAGTGGAGACTGGAGGAGGTGATGCTCTGACCCTCACCACAGCTCCTGCTCTTCCTGCCCCACTGCCCGGCGAGGCAATGGGGACCTCAGCTCCTGCCCTGGCTGGAGCCGGGGGACACAGCTCCTCTCCTCTCTCCCCCTGCAGTGCCACCCCAGCGGCTGCATCACCGACCTCTTCATCCAGATGGCCATCATCATGCTGCTCAAGCAGACCATCAGCAACGTGATAGAGTACCTCAACCCGTGAGCTCTCCTCCAGCCCGCACAGGGCTCCCTGCTGCTGTGGGCAGCTCCTACAGGGAGTAACTAACCCTGGTCTCTGGGCCAAGCATCCCTCCTTCCCCTCCCAGCCCCGCTGTCCCCTGCGGGCAGTACAGAGCAATCCCTCCCTTGCAGCTGGATACGCCACCAGCTACGCAGGAAGCGGCTGCAGCGCCCCAAGAAGAGGAACCTGATGTTAGGGGAGGAGGAGGAGGCCGAGGACCCCTGCAAGAGTCAGTGGCTGAGCAACTATGAGCTCAACGAGGTCAACATCTTCAGCCTGTTTGACGAGTTCCTGGAGATGGGTACGTGGAGCAGAGGCTCAAGGAGGAGGGAAGTGGGTGCAGAGCCATGTGTCCCCCTTGGCTGGAGAGAGCCTGATGCTGGGGAGCCCAAACATAGGCAAAGGAATGCTCTGAGACCAGCTCCGCCTGCCCTGGCTCACCAAAATCATCCCCAGACAAGAAAGCAGGCAACGGGCTGGCCTTGGGCCACTGCTCGGACCCTCCTCTCCTCCTGCAGAGCCAAGGGGGCGGCTGCAACCCCAGGTTCAACCCATGCCCTGTGGGACCCCCCCAGATCGCCCTCTCCAACAGCCCTGTGGGCAGTGGGGGTCCCCTGTAGGGTCCTCAAGACAGGTCAATCTCCCCCTTTCACCCCTGCAAAGCCCCTCTGCCACAAGCCACCACGCAGGACAAGTGCTGTGGGACGTCCCCCTGTGGTGGCTGCTCACCAAGCACCCCATTGCCCCCTCGCAGTGATCCAGTACAGCTTCACCACCATCTTCGTCGCCGCCTTTCCCCTCGCCCCGCTGCTGGCCTTCTTCAACAACCTCTTTGAGATCCACCTGGATGCCATCAAGATGATGCGGCTGCACCGGCGCATAGTGCCCAGGAAGGCCAATGACATCGGTGAGACGGGGAATTGCTGGTGCCAGGAGTGCTGGTGTGAAGCCCATGAGCATCCCTTTGCCAGGGACTGGTACCACTTAGAATCGCAGAATCCCAGCCTGGTTTGGGTTGGAGGGACCTTAACGCTCAACCAGCTCCAATCACG